GTTTTTTTAGGTTTCTAAAGAATAAAACTTTTATACGGGAAGAAATATTGTTTTTTTTTTATATTAATTTAAAAAAATGAAAACTAAACATTGTTAGTTTCCAATCGTTTATATTAATATCAAATTAGTTGAAAATATTTTTTAAAGTAATCACAAGTAAATATAAAAAAAAAAATGAAATTTTTATTTGTTAAAAAATATTTCAGTCTACCATGGATATGAGTTAGTTGTCATCAATTCTATCATTAATATTAATTTCATCGTTATTATAGCTAAAAAAAAAAGATGTCAGCTGGTAAAGTAATCGCAATACTTGGACGATAATTGGTGCAAAAAAAATATTATGAATTGATCACATGATTATGGTTTGCAAATCCATTATAGTGGTCGGTCTCTCTATCGGTATTTTTTTGCCAAACAGAAGAACCGTTGTAGAGTGTGTGTGTGTAATGTGTTTATTGTTGGAATCCATGATAAATTTTGATCTATATATCTATCTATAAGTTTTGGATATAAAAATTTATTAATGTGCGTTTAAAACCTTAAAGGGAAATATTTCTTGTTGGTAATGATGTTTGACAAAATGTTACCAAAGTTGTAAAACTATCACGTCAAATTCGCTACCATTAAGTCAAAAATGACGCAAGTAAAATTGCTTTAAAAGCGCTCACAAAAAAAACTTATGAATGTATATTCCAAGGTTTTTTTAATATTTTTCTTGTGTATCCCAATCTCTCCTTTGTTTCATCAGTTGTTCTCAAGGAGCTAAGTTTTTCTTTTGCTGAATACATGCTCGGGATAGATAAAATCATCAGTACTTTATGTTCTAGGTCAACTAAATTTTAATTATTATTGTCAAATTACTGTGTAAATAATTATAAAGTTTTTATAATAATAATCTCATTTTTTTATCCTTATTGTATTAATTGATAACTCCCAGAGGATAATTAACATTCTAATAAAACAAAACTCTGATAGAATCATTATTTTTATTAAATAAAATTAATCATTAAAAATAGTGTTTTTATTTTCTTTGTTTAAAGCGCTTTGATAAAAGTAACAAGTGTAGTTAGTGCTTAGTAAAAGGTAACCAATCATGGCGCTTTGGTAAAAAGTCACATTTATTTGCTTTAGTGAGCAAGCAAGCAAGTTAGGTTTAACGTTGGTTAAATAGTGAGTGCTAACAATGATTAGTAACATAATTTGCTTTGGTGAGTAAGCAAAGGTTAGGATTAACGTGGTTAAATGGTGGGTGTTAATGAAGCATCGTCCAAAGGTTAATTGGAAATACTGGTAATGTTATTGTAATTGTAAATGTAAGGCTGTTAAACAAGCTACTTGAGTTGTTTTGCAAGTAAACCAAAGCGAGTTCAATAAATGTAAACAAATAAATCAAGCCTTTGAGTTTTGTAAAAGGCCGTCTTTATTTATTTACAGTTATCTGATACCATTAAGTGTGCTCACAGATTCGTTTAGGTACAAGAAAGAGGGAACTAAAGTAAATCTGTAAACTAATTAATTGACAAGCACCGAATTATTTGAAATTAACTGACAAGAGTAGCCCAAAAGTCAGGCCATCATTGTTGATTAACTGAAACGACCCACAATTTAACAAGAATCAAAAAGTTTATTATTCAAAACATTATTTATAATTTAGCTTTAAGAAATAAAATAAAGATAAAATAAGAAGTCAAATAATTATTACAAATAATTCATAGTGGAGATTAAATTGGTCATTCATTGGTTCCTTCTTTTAATTATTAGAATCAGGTGCAATCAATGTAAATAAAAAATATTGTTAGTAATAATTAATGAATAGTTCTAATTAATTTATTAATAATGAAAATTTTATTCACCTTCAACATTTAAGAGAAGAGAGCTAAAACCAAGACTATTCAATGAACTATCATCACTTGTATAAATTTTCAAGCTTTTTGATTTAGTAATCTCTTCGTCTAATATTCTACTTGTATGGTATGCACCTGAGTGTGATTTGTGTGCTTGTTGCGAAGCACCACTACCACCACTACCACCACTACAATTACTGATATTACTATTATTATTGTTAATAATTTCTTTACGTTTATCTCTAGCAAAATCATAAAGCTCTCTACTAGTTGGTCTTTTTAATGGATCCACATCCCAACACCTCTGCACCATTTGTGCGTAATCATCAGGCATTTCAGGCAATATTGGTGGTCGTAAACCTTCTGTACATATATCAAAAATCAAACAATGATTGTGAGCTCTGTCATCAAATGGTGGATGTCCTGCAAATATTTCCCACAATAACATCCCAGCACTATAGATATCTGATTCTTTGGTGTTCTTTTTGCCTCCAAGTACTTCGGGTGCAACATATGGTACAATTCCATAGACTTTATCGGATGATTTTTCATCAACTGGACCACATAATCCCAAATCTGTAATATAACATCTACCACCTTGCACAAGTACATTACCACTATGTAAATCACAATGGATTAAATCTTTTTCATGAATATCATCTAATGCATAACATAAATGATAAAATATTCCAATTCTGTCTTTTAATGTTAAATTTAAATGATTTTTTTGTAAATAACCCCTTAAACTTCCCTCTGAAGCATAAGATAAAACTATTGCATAATTTCCATTATCTGGGAATTTGGTTACACCATAGCAAGGATTAATCATGTGTGATTTAATTTTACAATAATTCATTGCCTGAAATTGAATATAAAATCAATTAGTATGATATAATACAGTATTGTTTATTTTGTTTTAAATGACAACTACCAACCTCATCAAAAAATGCTTTTCCTGGGTTACTTGAATCATTTAAAATTTTTAATACTACTAATTCCCCTCTACCTCCAAGATAATTAAATTCCTTTTTATTTTCGTCATAATCAACTATTCTTCCTCTTATCCATGTAGCAGCATAAATTGAACTAAATCCACCTTCTGTCAACTTTGTTATATCATCAAATTGCTCAAAAGGTATCCATTCTAAAATGTGGGTTGGCAGAGATGACTTCATTTGACATTGTTGAATAAAGTTATCAACTATGTTATTTCCAGAAGTCCAAGTGGTGAAAAGACTCTGTAATTGTAAACTAATACAACCTTCACAGAACCTATCAGAGTATTTTGTCAATTTACACTTGTTACATTCTTTTGGATTTCCTTCTTTATCTATTGCACTATTTAATTCAAAATTATAAATAATCCTTTCCTTACAATATTCTTTTTCATTTTCAAAAAGCCTCTTGTTTTTCTCAACTAATGAAAAAAAATAATCTTTTCTACTTTCTCTATCAGAATTAACATTAGCATCATTACGCATTTCATTATAAATTTTACATACAAATTTATTCCTTTCTGATGATAACGATAATAATAATTTATAATGTGACATTATATAGAATATAAAATATAAAAGTCGACTTGATGTTTTAATGAATGTGGAGAATAACGGTTACACTATTTATTTCCTTTTTTTTGCGAAGAATAAGAGTAACATGTAACACATTTTTTTCGTACAACATTTGATAATAATAATAATAATAATATAATAATATGGCAACTTCATTACCACCAAACTCTAGTAATTGATTCAACAATAAAAGAATTTCAGCATTCTTTGAAGATTTAAAAGTGATAAACATAGAAAACAAAATTAAAACATGCATCAAAATCTGTCTTATGTAAAGGTCGTTCCAAATACCAATATTGATCAACCTACACCAAAGACTGTTCAAGCATATTATTATATTATTTGCGTATTACTATTATGTGTAGCTAACTTCAAAGTCAAAAATTTGAAAAAACATTTACATTTATAAAATACAATAATAAAAGAATGGAAGTAAAAGTTCTAATTCAAATTATAACATTTGTAAACTTCCCATGATGATTATTCTTCTTTGATCATTGCAATATACATACAATAATATAATAATTCTTTATTCATCCTCGGGACACACATTTTTATATAGTTTGGAACTTTTGATAATCCTATTTTATCATTATCATTATTGCTGCTTGTATCAAGTGTTTTTACTTATATCAAGCGTTTTTACTTGCATCAAGTGTTTCTACTTACATCAAGTGGTTTACTTGCGTCAAGGGCTTTTACTTTAGTCAGATCTTCAAAATGATCCTGATGAGAAACTACCTTTAGCCAATACATTAGTTACGTCAATGACTAAAGTCAAAAGTTTCGTCATACATCATTGCTTGTTGGTTGACAAATTTTGATGTAGAAGAGCTTTGATCTTTTTTTTCGATGCAAATATTTTTAATGATAAAAATTTAGCAACTACTCACCGACCAGCATCTTATGTCTGTAAAATTCATTCTCATGCCAGAAATGTATCGCTTGCTCTAAATCTAGGTTGTCTCTGCGTGCTCGGAGAAGCGCTTAAACCTTAAAAAGTAATTTCTTTAATTCATAAAAATAAGATATTTCAGATCAGATTCAGATCCAATATTTTAGATCACTTTCAAATGAAATATTTCTGTTGTGCGTGAAATTTGAAATCTGCGTCAATTTTGAAATTCACACGCGTGAAATTCAAATTAGCCAATCAGAATTTGTATTCAAACACCCACACCCCAAAATTTACAAAATTTAATTTAAACTTTTCAAATAATTAAATAATTTGATTGGATGGGCGGGCATTCAAAAATTTCAACTTTTTCTTTTTGAAGTTTCTAATCCTGGCGTTATAAAAATTCGAGAGATTGTTTGATGGGCTTTTTTTATGAGTTCAATTATTAGGTATCGTGGGAAAAAAATCAAAAGATTTCCAAAATTAGCAAGAAATACTAAAGTTTTATCATTTTTAAATATTGGCTCACACTCTTCATGTCAAGACGATGTGTTATACAATTGTGGCGTTAGAAAACTTATATATAGTACCACCGAAATTATTTTGTGGCGAGTGGTGATTGCATAAAAATTTATCTCCAAAAAAAAAAATAAAAAATTCCCAAAGGGTTGAAAAAGGAAAAATATGGAGGTTTGTATTTTTTGATGATGATGATAATGATAATGATAATAGTCTATTTAATAATAATATTTGGGAAAAAAATAAAATAAAATAAAATTTTAACAGGCAAAGAGAGAAAATTATATTTACAAAATTAGTAATGGTAATAATGATGGGAAACAACAAAAACAACAGCAACAAGAAGAATTAGAAGAAAATGATGAGGTAACAACTATAGTTAAAGAAGAACAAGAAACAGCTATAGCAAATATTAATAATAATATTATTATTAAATATAATTATGATGATAATGATGATGATTTAAATATTGATAATATTAATAAAATTAATATTAAGCTTAACTATCATGACAGTAATATTATGGATTATAACAACAACAACAATTTACCAAAATTTTATTATCATTCAAATCATCAACAGTCATATTCATCATTTTCATCATCACCACCACCACCACCACCACCACAACAACAACAACAACAACAGCTACCACCACCAACAAAAGCTTTCTACAATCAAAGGTCATCTTCATCTTCATCCACAACAACAACAACAACAACAAGATCATCATCATCAAGAGAAACATCAGGATCAAGAACAACGACATCATCAACAACAACAATTAATAATAATGATTCTGATACTAGTATTACAAAAATGCCAATTCATAAACCATATGCAAGTTATATACGTTCATGGAAGGCAAAATCACCAGTTATTCAATTACACTTGGCTTTACTAGAAATTGATTCATTTCAAGAAACCAACAAACTAGACAAATCTTATAATAACAATAAATCTGTTGGATTACCAAAATTTCGATATAAATATTCAGAACAAAAATTGGCCTTGTACTTGGTACAGGGTGGGCAAGTTTTTATCCCTCTTAGAGTTTTAGGAGGAATTGAAAAAATCAGTGATAGAGTTATTTGTCTATATTTAAATGATGAGGATAAATGTTTGGTAAATAATAATATAATTAATAGTAATAATAATATAAATAAATAAATATATATATACATATATTACTATATATTATTATTATTAATTATCATTTTTATCAATGCGTAGATTAATTATAATTGGAATTCAGAGTACACAGTTGGAAAGAAAAAAGTAATTACTGGAAACATGAGTAAGTTTATATATGCATATAATAATTTTACATATCAATATCAATATAATCTAAAACTTTAACATTTTAAAATCGTATAAAGAAAGTGCAAAATCAATTACTTTATATATGCATAAAGATGTATCAGAACAAGAAATTGATATAACAGGATTACACATAAATTATATGATAAAAGCTAGAAAAAATAAATCTTACTCAAATTGGAAAGTTGGTTGGGGAAAAATTTCAGATGGTAACAATTATAGTAAAAAAAAACATCATAGTAATTTTAATAAAAATAAGAAGTATGGTGATAATAATCACAATTATAATAATAATAATAGCAATAAATATATGAATGATTATGATGAAAATAAAAAAGGATTTAATAATTATAATAATAATAGTGACAGTGACAAATTTTGTTATCAAAAATTCAAAATCATAACTCCAAAAAACAATAAAAATGGCAATAATAACAACAGTAGCAATAATAACAATAGCAATAATAACAATACTTCTTCAAATAATAATGTTGAAGTTGATTTAATTAAATTGTTTGATGATCTTGAAGTTGAGGATGTTAATAATGGTAATGGTGATATTAATGATAACAATGATAATGATGATAATAAGGAAAAAATTAAGAGTGAAAAAAATGCAAGTTGGTTTTTATTCTTATTCTAATTCATTATATGATTGATTAATTGATTGATTAATTGATTCATTAATTGATTGATTAATTGATTGATTAATTGATTGATTAATTGACTGATTGACTAAACAAATCTCTCTTTTATATAATAATATCTAAACGATTAGGAAGAACAATTAATTATAAAGTTACATCACAGCAACACTGATGAGATCAAAAACTATCTCATCACCAATTCCTACAAACTTTCCAATCTAACAAATTTAATAGAAAAATCATACAATTTTGCTACAGGTACAATCAAACAATTAAAGTATAAAGATTACTTTAATAACTTTGTTAAAATAACAAATGATTTAGAATTTCAAATTGCTATTTCAATCTATAAAATTGATAAAAAAAATCCCAGTAGTAGTAGTAATAATGAAAAATTTGAATTATGGTACGATCAACAAGATCAGCAAGAAGAAAATGATCTTATTATTATGTAATTAAATAATTTAAAGGAATGAAAATGTAATGTGAATTTAAAAATTTAAAATAGAAAATGAAAATTTAATATTTATTTAAGTTTTAATATATTATTTTTATTTAATAGTAAAATAAACAATTAATACAATACACACCCTCTATAACGGTCCTTCTGTTTTGGCAAAAAAAAGGCCGTTATAAAGAGAGACCGTTATAGGGAAATTGCAAAATCATAATCATGTGATCAATTCATAATGTGATACATACAATATTTTTATTTTTAATAAATAACAAGGTTACAACTGAGAACGCAATGTGAGCTTTTGCTTTTCGTGTTACAAAACACGCATACCGTGCTACGCGTGAATAAAAATTCAAATAAGTTGGGTTTTGCGTCATCTTCATCGCAAAGAGCAAAAAAAATGACATCACTCGGGCCAA